AAAACCTAAATTTTCAGTTTTAACTAGTCACATACGGACCTTAATTTTCAGTTTTGGCAAGTTACATGAAAACCTAAATTTTCAGTTTTGGCCAGTTACATGAAAACCTAAATTTTCAGTTTTAACTAGTCACATACGGACCTAAATTTTCAGTTTTGGCAAGTTACATGAAAACCTAAATTTTCAGTTTTGGCCAGTTACATGAAAACCTAAATTTTCAGTTTTAACCAGTCACATGAAAACCTAAATTTTCAGTTTTAACTAGTCACATACGGACCTTCATTTTCAGTTTTGGCCAGTCACATGAAAACCTAAATTTTCAGTTTTAACTAGTCACATACGGACCTTCACTTTCAGTTTTGGCCAGTCACATGAAAACCTAAATTTTCAGTTTTAACTAGTCACATACGGTCCTTCATTTTCAGTTTTGGCCAGTCACATGAAAACCTAAATTTTCAGTTTGAACTAGTCACATACGGACCTTCATTTTCAGTTTTGGCCAGTCACATGAAAACCTAAATTTTCAGTTTTAACTAGTCACATACGGACCTTCATTTTCAGTTTTGGCCAGTCACATGAAAACCTAAATTTTCAGTTTTAACTAGTTACATACGGTCCTTCATTTTCAGTTTTGGCCAGTCACATGAAAACCTAAATTTTCAGTTTTAACTAGTCACATACGGTCCTTCATTTTCAGTTTTGGCCAGTCACATGAAAACCTAAATTTTCAGTTTTAACTAGTCACATACGGACCTTCATTTTCAGTTTTGGCCAGTCACATGAAAACCTAAATTTTCAGTTTTAACTAGTCACATACAGACCTTCATTTTCAGTTTTGGCCAGTCACATGAAAACCTAAATTTTCAGTTTTAACTAGTCACATATGGACCTTCATTTTCAGTTTTGGCCAGTCACATGAAAACCTAAATTTTCAGTTTTAACTAGTCACATACGGACCTTCATTTTCAGTTTTGGCCAGTCACATGAAAACCTAAATTTTCAGTTTTAACTAGTCACATACGGACCTTCATTTTCAGTTTTGGCCAGTCACATGAAAACCTAAATTTTCAGTTTTAACTAGTCACATACGGACCTTCATTTTCAGTTTTGGCCAGTCACATGAAAACCTAAATTTTCAGTTTTAACTAGTTACATACGGTCCTTCATTTTCAGTTTTGGCCAGTCACATGAAAACCTAAATTTTCAGTTTTAACTAGTCACATACGGTCCTTCATTTTCAGTTTTGGCCAGTCACATGAAAACCTAAATTTTCAGTTTTAACTAGTCACATACGGACCTTCATTTTCAGTTTTGGCCAGTCACATGAAAACCTAAATTTTCAGTTTTAACTAGTCACATACGGACCTTCATTTTCAGTTTTGGCCAGTCACATGAAAACCTAAATTTTCAGTTTTAACTAGTCACATATGGACCTTCATTTTCAGTTTTGGCCAGTCACATGAAAACCTAAATTTTCAGTTTTAACTAGTCACATACGGTCCTTCATTTTCAGTTTTGGCCAGTCACATGAAAACCTAAATTTTCAGTTTTAACTAGTCACATACGGACCTTCATTTTCAGTTTTGGCCAGTCACATGAAAACCTAAATTTTCAGTTTAGTAAAGGCTGATGAATTAAGAGAGACTTTGTACGTCTTTAACATATCTGTGTAAATTTTTCTTTGGTTCATATTTTGCCGTAGTTTCATTGAATTTTAGTTTGATTTAACATTCCACTAACAGGTATTTTCTTTATTGTTTTTTCTAACTGAAAAGCCTTTGTCACTGTCCAGCTAGGGAACAATCTTTTATGGTTGTGATCTAAACATCTAATTTCACACATACCACACTTCCAATGGAGGTACATTAAAAAAAATTCCATATTAATACTCAACAACCCATGTTTCATAAGATTGGTAGAAAATAAAGATGTTTATTAACGTATCACATGAACTTTTCCACTTTTCATTCCCTGCAAAACACACAGTGTATCTTCTTGTGCAAGGCAGACATCTTGAAGGAGTTTGTATAAGATTAAGAACACACTTACCCTTCTTGGAACCATTTTTTGCCTCAAGGTATTGTTGGTGTTCTTGGTATGCCTTGTATGGGTTTTTTTCTCCTTAATTCCTGATGTTGTACTACTGTACCAGTTTCCTGATCAGTTTTCCCTATTGATTCTGTGAAATATTTATCTGTATATCCTATATATTATATGAGACACAATACTACAGGTGTAAGGTTTCTTATTTGTTAAAAACAAGCAATACCCCTTTCATGAAATTATTAATATGGCAGCTGATTTGATATCTATGCTTTACATGACACCACATTCGATGAGTCTTCTTCCTTCACAGCTTCGGCACAGGATTAATGAACACTTCCTGTTATCTAGAAACATTTCATTTGCCCCTTTAGAATTAACTTTTGTATTGTTCGAATCTCCAAAAGTAACAATTTATCGCTTTCTTGACCAAAGCAGCTAATTATAGTAGCACAATGCAGTTTGGTTTTAGATAAACAAAAATTCAAAAAATGAAAAAATACTTCTAACTTCTATGTTAAATTTGTATTACAAGGTTGCACTCAACCTAGGTAGGAGAAACGGAGGTTCAATGCCCTCACATGATCAGTTGATGGAGATAACTGTAAAGGGTTTTATTGTACCAGGGGATGGAATAAAGTTATTAAAAATACCTACATTGTAGTAAAATCAATACAGGTAACCATACTCCATACAAAATACTTCCTTTTAATTTCAATACTTTGGTTTTATTGAAAAAAACCCACTTTATAGTGTAATTGTATGCTTAAATATTCTGGATGGCGTATCTTATATGATTTGTTGGTTATGGTATTCTGGTTTTTAACTGAACATATTCTTTCTCTTGTCTTTATATAGACTTGATTACGTTTCTTTACACATTGTTCTTGTAACGTTTTCAAAATAACGTGATAAAGCACAAACTTCTGTCACTCAGATAGACTTAAACTTCTGTCACTCAGATAGACTTAGACTTAAACTTCTGTCACTCAGATAGACTTAAACTTCTGTCACTCAGATAGACTTAGACTTAAACTTCTGTCACTCAGATAGACTTAGACTTAAACTTCTGTCCCTCAGATAGACTTAGACTTCTGTCACTCAGATAGACTTAAACTTCTGTCACTCAGATAGACTTAAACTTCTGTCACTCAGATAGACTTAAACTTCTGTCACTCAGATAGACTTAGACTTAGACTTCTGTCACTCAGATAGACTTAAACTTCTGTCACTCAGATAGACTTAGACTTAAACTTCTGTCACTCAGATAGACTTAAACTTCTGTCATTCAGATAGACTTAAACTTCTGTCACTCAGATAGACTTAGACTTCTGTCACTCACATAGACTTAGACTTCTGTCACTCAGATAGACTTAAACTTCTGTCACTCAGATAGACTTAGACTTAAACTTCTGTCACTCAGATAGACTTAGACTTAAACTTCTGTCACTCAGATAGACTTAGACTTCTGTCACTCAGATAGACTTAGACTTCTGTCACTCAGATAGACTTAAACTTCTGTCACTCAGATAGACTTAGACTTCTGTCACTCAGATAGACTTAAACTTCTGTCACTCAGATAGACTTCAACTTCTGTCACTCAGATAGACTTAAACTTCTGTCACTCAGATAGACTTAGACTTCTGTCACTCAGATAGACTTAGAAGGCTTGTGGGATACTATTTATATAGACCATTACATACAACGGTCACAATAATCCTGTCCAGCCAATCTTATAAAATATTAACATCTTCCTTGTCTTACACCAAGTTTGAACACTACGTAAATGTTGTAGTATCTGGGATCTCCATACTGTACCGTATATAACATTTAATCATAATGATACACATGAATGGTTTTCAAAGTAAAGTAATTATTGGAATTATCACAGAATCTGGAGTTATGGGAGAGGCAGTTTCTATTTTATTTAAGACTGATGTATTGGAAACTCATGTAAAACCCTCTTTATAGCTCTATATAGGTCTTTATATGATTATTGGCATATCAAAAATATAGAACAGCCTGTATATTTTAGAAAAAATACAAAAAATATATTATTTTGACTTTATTTTCAATCATACAAAGCCTTCATGTTAGCCCTGTACAGGTACAGTATGTGCATATTTGACCACTGATAGGCTAGAGAAATGACAGCTACGTAGTATGTTGTTGAGATGACCCGCCCACCCCATTCTCAGTTAGTGTCTGTGGTGCTCTGTGTGTCAGCGTCAGCCATATTATTGTACTATCTTCCCCTTACTCTTTATAATTTTATTCAAACTCGGGGTACTTCTTTACTGGACAGCGTGAAAAAGTCCTGTATGTGTATTTTGATAAAGACAACCATACTCACATACGTACAGACTGTGGTATGATGTTAACACTCTCCTACATGTACATAGCCGAGGAGTTCTTGTTTTTTACTTCTAATTGATAACTTACTATTATTACCAATACGGTTCAGGCAATTCAGTTTAGATAACCACTTGCATGTTTGTTATCCACAGGTTAGTATAGAGAAATGTTTACACAAAGACTGCTAATGTTCACTAATATTTCTGGGAATGAATTTGGTAGTATAATAATGAAAGGCTTGTACAGTATTCATATAGCTCTAGGATAGAATGAAATCAACTCTAATAAAAACTATATCCTGTATTATAAAATCATGCTAGTTAAAAATAGCATTTTATGTCATGTACTTTCATTACACTTATGGATAAACAAGCAATATAAACACAAACAGTCATGAAATGTAATTCTTTTGTTCTCATTATTGATATCTAAGAAACAAAACTTTTCTAAAACCACAATCATTATTTCAAGAACTGTTCAAACCAAGACAGAGTTTCAGGAATTGCTGTACACACGTTTGGCTGCTGGAAGGTAACGTGTTTTTTAGCATGAAGGTTGACTGCATGTTGCCTATAGCCAGTCTATCCATTTTGTCATTTCAGCGAGTCACAGTCCAAAAGGTCGCCGAAAAAAACTGAATGCCCGCATGAAGAGTTTCTCCTTGGATACACCTGAACCCTCCAAACACCACTTGGGAATTGATGAGATCACGAAGAAGAAAAGCAGTTCCTTTACTAACACATGTTTTGGAGGTGAATAAAACTACACCATTTTTTAACACTTTGTCCTTTTCCCAATCGTGGTGCCTGAATATTTCCTGTGTGACAAAAATGTCCATTCATATGTGAATCTGTCAGAAATGTTAATTAGTATGGGACACTATAATGAAGGCAGATTTATAAAACTTAATAAAATTGATGTCTAGTGACAATGTGAAAGTAACACAATTTATATAATTGATATAAACGATTTTCATAGGTTTTAAAAGTTGAGTAATTTACTCTTATTAAAGGGTTATGTTCTGGGCAGATTGTATAAGTTCACTATATTGAAAGGGACATCACATTTCTGGGCAGAATGGATGGCTTCATCTTGCTCAGAACAGTCAATATTAAATTTTAGCAGCTTAAGATCAAGTAATCGACTGACATTAAGGATTTTTTTCCATTGATAGAAGCAAGTATTAAGATTTTGTGACCTCCAGATAACAGCCACAACAACAGAAAACTGGTACAGCTAATGAAAACTTTCACATGTGTTCATATAGCAGCATTACATATTGTCGAGGACAGCAAAGAAAGGCAGAAGTTAATTGCTACAAACTGGTACAGCTAAATGAAAACTTTCACGTGTGTTCATATAGCAGCATTACATATTGTCGAGGACAGCAAAGAAAGGCAGAAGTTAATTGCTACAAACTGGTACAGCTAAATGAAAACTTTCATGTGTGTTCATATAGTAGCATTACATATTGTCGAGGACACCAAAGAAAGGCAGAAGTTAATTGCTACAAACTGGTACAGCTAAATGAAAACTTTCACATGTGTTCATATAGTAGCATTACATATTGTCGAGGACACCAAAGAAAGGCAGAAATAATTGCTACAAACTGGTTGGTCGAAAGTTTGTATTGACAGACTGCCTAAAATCACACTCTTGGTGAGCTTGTAGCTAGTTGCGAGTTTGATAAGCAGTCAGTGTGACTGAAATGAAAGGCTGCATAAATATGTAACTGTTGAACAAAATTACATATATCATAAAGACTGTGCATCTGCTGAACAAAAATACATATATTATAAAGTCTGTACATCTGTTGAACAAAAATACATATATTATAAACTGTTGAACATAAATACATATATTATAAACTGTTAAACATAAATACATATATTATACAGACTGTACAACTGTTAAACACAAATACATATATTATACAGACTGTACAACTGTTAAACACAAATACATATATTATAAACTGTTGAACATAAATACATATATTATACAGATTGTACAACTGTTGAACATAAATACATATATTATAAACTGTTGAACATAAATACATATATTATACAGATTGTACAACTGTTGAACATAAATACATATATTATAAACTGTTGAACATAAATACATATATTATACAGACTGTACAACTGTTGAACATAAATACATATATTATAAACTGTTGAACATAAATACATATATTATACAGACTGTACAACTGTTGAACATAAATACATATATTATAAACTGTTGAACATAAATACATATATTATACAGACTGTACAACTGTTGAACATAAATACATATATTATAAACTGTTGAACATAAATACATATATTATACAGACTGTACAACTGTTGAACATAAATACATATATTATAAACTGTTGAACATAAATACATATATTATACAGACTGTACAACTGTTGAACATAAATACATATATTATAAACTGTTGAACATAAATACATATATTATACAGATTGTACAACTGTTGAACATAAATACAAATCTTTATTTTCATTATTGGTACATGTGTATATTTTGACCACTTCAACTGTTCAAATAGATTAAAACTTGGCATGCAGTTTTTTGGTAAATCTCAGATTAATGTCCACCAATAGTGTCTGCATTCTCAAAGATTTTACAGACTACAAATTAACAATAGCACCTTATAATGATATAAATGTGTATAAAATACTGCTGGATGTCGTGAACAATACTCAAAGCAAAAATATGTGAAAGTTTTCATTTGCTGTGACAATTTTCAGCTATTGTGATATTTTATCCAGATGGGTCACAAAATGTTTTTTTGTATGAATTCAAATTGGTCTCAAGTTCGATAGGGTGTAATGTGTATCATGAGAAATACAAAAATATTTCAAGTTTTGGTCAAATTATTGGGAAGTGATGAAGTACAGTCGAACCTTGTTATCTGGAAGTTGGCAGGACCATGGGAAAACTTTGAGTTTATCTGTGTATTAAATTTAAACAAAATTTAATGCTTAGTAAGAAGTGTGGCAGGGACTAACAAAATTCTTCAAGTTATACCAGTGTAGCATGCATGGTATTGTGAAGCAACAGATGAAATGAACGGGGGTCAAAGAGCCAAAATGGTGAAGTGAACTGCGGTTCACTTACCCATGGGCTTCACTTTATCATACTGCTTCAGGTCTTAAGTATCATACTGCTTCAGGCCTAAAAGTTACATGTATAAGAGTTGGAGATAAAGAGGTACCACTGTATTTAGCTGTGTTTTCTTGTTGACAGGCACACTTTTAGTACTGTTGCATCTTTTTAATTAATTGAATCAGATGATAAAATATTTGAAAAGTCTATATGAAAAGGCCTTTAGTAGCTTTAAGGTGTTATGGACCTTTGTTTGTCTTTCATTATCTCCCCTGTTAAATATCCGTGTTGTAATTGGTTGACCCAATTTAGGGTGCTATGGACCTTTGTTTGCCTAGCATTATCTCCCTTGTTAAATATCTATGTTGTAATTGTGTCAATCATAGTGATTGACCCAATTTAAGGTGTTATGGACATTTGTTTGTCTAGCATTATCTCCCCTGTTAAATATCTGTGTTGTAATTGGTTGACCCAATTTAGGGTGCTATGGACCTTTGTTTGCCTAGCATTATCTCCCTTGTTAATCTCTGTGTTGTCATTGGGTCAATCAAAGAGGTCAGTGAGGACTCTACGGTGATCAGATGTCTATAGTGATCATAGTGACATCACTGAGAACTTTTCAGTCAGAAAATATATATCCTTAAAGCTTTGGTTATAGCAAAAAGTATGTAGTGTCCATATGTCACACCCAAGTTGTGTGTATACAAACATTCACAGGTATATTGCACTTCTGTACAGAAAGAACAATACCATGATTTTGAATCTGACAACAATTACAAGGAATTTATTATATAATATAACAGAGTGTTCTCTACAAGAAGAAACACATTGTTAGCATTAAGGGTTGGCACTTGAGCAATGACAGTATGATTTTTCAGGTATGATGAAAACTTTAAATGTATAAACAAAACTAAGAGACGTAAGCTTCGACACACAAGATTCAAAGGCACATCAATTTCTAGCCATCTTTTTAATTAACTCTGATATGTTCTCTTTTGTCCTTCCAGATGTAGATCAGCTGAGTGACCTTAAAGATTTTAAGAATTACTGGAGATCCAAAAAATTTGTTTGTAAGATAGAGTAGTTTAACTAATATCAAACTGCACAAAACACCAAACTATACCCACACTGATACCGTTAAATATCTGGCATGTTAGATATATACTCATGTGTGTGTGTGTGTGTGAATTCTGTATACATGTATGCGTGCACTTTTTCATTCTGGAATGAAAATGATTTGTCTAAGACGGTTGCCTTAGAGAACACTAGTTATAAATGATGACAGATTCTGTCTGTTTTATAAACAATAATATTGTTTGACTTATCCAAAGTGTTTCACAATTTACATTTTTCCAGGATCTAGTAGAATGAAATAAAACAATAATAAAAGAAATGATTCTCACACGGTTACTAATGATATATATAGATAGATATATCAATAGATGTAGGAATACATGGAGATTACCAGCAGCATTCAGACTAACATAAGGTTGATACGTTAGTACATGTACAATAAGATATAGTGACAGAATTCTAATTCTACACTATCGATGAAGAGAAATACAAAGATATCTAAAATACTGGACCGATCAAAAGATCTTCTTGTCGACCATTTTATAGGGGAGAAACTACAGAAACAGATTTCTATCATAAATACTTGAAAAGGATGTGAGTACTTAACCTGTGAAATTTTGTAACATATACTAACCATCAAACACATTTAAAGTATTTATTGACAATCTGAAAGAAGGATAACGTTATATTAATGCAGTCTCTAGTAACTAATTATTTAGTGTGGTATTTTCATGGCTTTTCCACTCACAAACATATTTTAACCAAGTTAATGATTCTGAATTGATGAGTGATAATTCACTTGGTTTAATCCACCAATCAGGCATCATACAAACTAGTTGCCATGGTGATAGATTTCCTTAGTTACAGATGTATAGTCACTGACACATATCACTATTCACTTTCTACACTAAACACTTTTTGGGCACAGTGACTGAGGAGATGGAACAGTTATCTCCCTTTAACACAGTATTCATTTTGTCGAAGCGAGACTTTGTCATTATATCACAATATTACTTTTGGTGTGTTAGACAATAATTTTATTAAGTTTGTTTGATAAATGGTACCATGTATTTGTGTTAACTTGCGTGGGTGTTGCGGAAGTCTGTATCAGTGACGTTTGGTACACATATTACCAGTAAATACCCTATTTATATCGTTACATAAATTCTATTCCCTATGATCATGTAATAATCAAGTCAAAGTATCTCACATTTTTGTTGTTCATAATATTCAATAACGGATGATGGAGTTTGAAACCCTTCTAATCTGGACGAATCGGATTAGTGTCCACACGTCTGATGTAATGGTGATACCAGGAAGTCACTGATTATTGCATTCAAATAGCCAAGTTGATATTAACTTTGAATTGCTATTGAACAGTCCCAGTTAATCAAATGCTCGTGTTTTGTCAGTATTTTTTATAAAGCAAGCACTAATAATCAAAGGGAAAAAACAAATTAGTGGTCCCGATCATCTCTGTTCATCGTTATTTGATATGTGTTAAAAATCCTGTTTTGTCTTGTCTTTCAAATACTTAACAATAAAGTTGACCTTTTCTTAAAAACATTTTATAAGGGACTTTATAACAAAACACTTTGCTTCATCATATAAACACACAAATAACAAAAAATCTGTCTAGGTGGGAAGTTTTGGGTGACTATGGTAAAGTGAATCATTTCATTTTTTACCTCTTGCTAATAAACTTTTTTTCACAAAAATAGTGGAATGTTTCACTTTACCATGGCCATTATTAGTGAATCAGCAAGGTTAAAAACAATGTTGAAAAAAAGTTGATTAGTAAAGACAAAAGCAGTGAAATGCTTCACTTTACCCTGGGCTTCACTTTATCATACTACACCAGGAAATATAAGTATCTTATCATCAATATTCTGATCAGAAGATTCATTCCTAAGTTGTCCTGATGAAATAACAGGAAAAATTCATATCAACTTGTAATATTTCCATTGGCAGAATTTAAAAAATGTTTTTATGAAATCATCTACAATATTTTGATAAGCTCTTTAGTAAAAGTTCATCTTCCTGATTACTCTCTTTTGACAAATCATCTGTAGTCGTCTTTTTGCCGACATATCAATATCATAATTTGTAAGTATCGGTTATGATCCATTTCAGAAATGGTATATCAAAACAACCACGCCATGGAGGTCTTTACAATTTGTTTTGTGTTTCTGTATATTTGTATAACAAGGTCATAAAAAATTTGATAAATGTTTTCAGATATACAATTATGAGCTTCCATTAATATGTAAATTTATCTATATTTCAACATGGTAGTAATATCAACACTTCTACATTTGACTCAAAAGGAACATGTACGTAAATGGTAAATGGTAAGGACAAAATAGTTTTTTTCATTCATAAATCAATTTCATGAGAGCTGGAAAAGTAAACAGATAAGAGATCCAAAGCTGATTATTTTCACTGCTTCACACGTCCAGGCATAGGTGTTTTGATGCTCTACTGCCAACAACCTGATCTTGTGTCAAGCTTTATGTTTCCACCAAAATAAATTCACTTTCATTTCAGCCCAAACTGCTACATACACAATTAACACTTTAATTCAACAGAAGAAAAATGGGTCAGGCCTTCGGAATGGATGGAAGAATTTTACCTTCATATTCAAATTAAGATTATTTGTGAGAACAAACATTCAACTCAGTTGTCTCCCTTTCCTATATATGACTGATGTTTGATACAGTTGAATGCAAAAGTGAGTACTTTGTAATATCATCAATAACATTATTGCAAAATGAACGGTGCAGGTGTGTTATGTTTCTGGTTCGTGGTAATTATGATAAAATGTTTATATGTTATCATACAGCTGGCTCTTCTAGTCCTGTAGACAAATATTCCGCCGCCAATCTACGTAAGAAATTTGCTGCCAGTGCCAAAACTACATCACTTGACATCGAGGACAAGAGGAGAGGAAGTTTTGTACCATCTCCAAAGGAATCTCCAGTAGGTTTGATTCTTAATGATACCTAGCCTTGATTTTTGTTTCTCAAATTCTTCCTTCAAAATTATAATAATCTGAATTGTGTCACTTCTACAACTCCAGACATTGTAACATGTAATCTTATATCACTTGATAAATTACCCATTGTATTCAAAATCAAAATAAATCATTTGGATTGAAATGACTTTCTACTGTACAGGGCAGCATTGTTTTATAATACGGTAGTTTTACAGAATGATGTAAAACCAGGTCAGAATTGTTATATATTACTATAGTTTTACAGAATGATGTAAAACCAGGGCAGAATTGTTATATGATACGATAGTTTTACAGAATGATGTAAAACCAGGGCAGAATTGTTATATAATACTATAGTTTTACAGAATGATGTAAAACCAGGGCAGAATTGTTATATAATACTATAGTTTTACAGAATGATGTAAAACCAGGGCAGAATTGTTATATAATACTATAGTTTTACAGAATGATGTAAAACCAGGGCAGAATTGTTATATGATACTATAGTTTTACAGAATGATGTAAAACCAGGGCAGAATTGTTATATGATACTATAGTTTTACAGAATGATGTAAAACCAGGGCAGAATTGTTATATAATACGATAGTTTTACAGAATGATGTAAAACCAGGGCAGAATTGTTATATAATACTGTAGTTTTACAGAATGATGTAAAACCAGGGCAGAATTGTTTATATAATACTATAGTTTTACAGAATGATGTAAAACCAGGGCAGCATTGTTATATAATACGATAGTTTTACAGAATGATGTAAAACCAGGGCAGAATTGTTATATAATACGATAGTTTTACAGAATGATGTAAAACCAGGGCAGAATTGTTATATGATACTATAGTTTTACAGAATGATGTAAAACCAGGGCAGAATTGTTTATATAATACGATAGTTTTACAGAATGATGTAAAACCAGGGCAGAATTGTTATATAATACTATAGTTTTACAGAATGATGTAAAACCAGGGCAGAATTGTTATATAATACGATAGTTTTACAGAATGATGTAAAACCAGGGCAGAATTGTTATATAATACGATAGTTTTACAGAATGATGTAAAACCAGGGCAGAATTGTTTATATAATACTATAGTTTTACAGAATGATGTAAAACCAGGGCAGCATTGTTTACTTGTTATCAATACAACAGCTTATGATTGAAGTGACATTTAGCCCGTTATGAGTTCCTGTATTCTAGTAAACATGTTAGAAGTCGATCGAAACACAGTAACTACGGAAGGGAAAAAAATTAACTTAACACCATGATGATGAAAATAAATTGAGTTAAGATATTTTAAGTTCTGTATTAAAATTGTGCCTGTATGTTTTTTAATGTAGAAATCGCAAAGGAAACAATCAAAGGAAAGCAACACGACAGTTTATGTAGCATTATATAACTTCAGGGGGAAAGAGAAGGATGATATGGATCTCAGGTAATACAATCTTATACCAATGTTCTGATGAGAATAATCTGTTTTATTACTTTTTTTGTAACAATGCTAATTTGTAAGACTGATAGAGTGAGATAGTGGGGGTCACATCTTGAGGGTTGCCAAGTGTTCTAATGCTTAATAATCTTTGCCCGAGGGTTGAGATCCCTTTATCTGACCTAAAGGGGTGAATGATTATTTTTCTCTCACTCTGTTTTCATTGTCGGATTGCAAGACGAAATGTATTTTATGTAAGCAAATACATGTGGAAGGCATATGGATAGTGATGGGGCCTGCACTTCAGACACTACAGACAATGTGATTTAATCTTACACAAAATATAATTCTGGTGTACATGCCAATAAAACCTAAAGTAACATTATATTCTTGATATCTATCCCACCATTATCAGATGGTGAGCTATTCAAATCACCCTTCATCTGTAGTCTGTTTGTCCATAAATTTTGTAATCGCTACTTCTTGAGGAAGACTCTGCAGATCTTTCTCAGAATTAATTTTTAGGTTTCCTTTGTCCCTAATTGTACACGTTTATTTTTGGGTCTGATAAAAAAACAATATGGCCGACAGGCCAACATTTTTATTACTCTTTCTTGAGAAGTACTTGATAATTCTTTTTCAACTTGCATGTGTAGGTTCCCCATGGTCCCCATTGTTTGATTTGGGAATGATCAGAGAAATAAAATGGCTGACAGGCAGCCATGTTGGATTTTGCCAACTAAAGTATGTTATGGCTATTTCTTGAGAAGTACTTGATGGATCTTTCTCAAATTTCATAAATACTCTAGGTTTCCCTTGGTTCCTAGTTATGTCCGATTGATTTGGGACTGATCAGAGAGACAAAATGAGAGACCAAATCTTATGTTTTCACTGTAGTAATGTCATTAAACATTAATGTTATTTATGTTCACAGAGTTAATTATATACGTAGTCACAGAGTTATGTATAAAGTCTGACTGGACAGTTTATAATATTGTGATGTTTCTGTTATTACAGGGCAGGATGGAGACTTTTCATTGTCGACAGCTCTGATCCAGATTGGTGGAAGGTAGGGTCATTTCATTAGGAATTTTTCAAATTATTGGTGATGAAAAATTCTTAAGAAAGAAATTGTGCAAGAATTAATCTTTGAGACACAGTCTAAAGCTCTGATACACCTAAATATGATAAAAGTTTCATTAATGAAAGCATACACATGGCAGTTTATTGATACTAGATAAGTTTATAAGGGAATTAAGACATGAATGAACCTGAACATGGACCTGGCTGGACATAAACATGGACCTGTCTGGACATAAACATGGACCTGCCTGGACATAAACATGGACCTGTTTGGACATAAACATGGACCTGAGTGGACATAAACATGGACCTGAGTGAACATAAACATGGACCTGAGAGGACATAAACATGGACCTGGGTTGACATAAACATGGACCTGAGTGGACATAAACATGGACCTGAGAGGACATAAACATGGACCTGGGTGGACATAAACATGGACCTGTCTGGACATAAACATGGACCCGTTTGGACATAAACATGGACCTGAGTGGACATAAACATGGACCTGTCTGGTCATAAACAAGGACCTGAGTAGACATAAACATGGACCTGTCGGGACATAAACATGGACCTGAGTGGACATAAACATGGACCTGAGTGGACATAAACATGGACCTGTCCGGACATAAACATGGATCTGAGTGGACATAAACATGGACCTGTCGGGACATAAACATGGACCTGAGTGGACATAAACATGGACCTGAGTGGACATAAACATGGACCTGTCTGGGCATAAACATGGACCTGTCGGGACATAAACATGGATCTGAGTGGACATAAACATGGACCTGAGTGGACATAAACATGGACCAGAGAGGACATAAACATGGACCTGGGTTGACATAAACATGGACCTGAGTGGACATAAACATGGACCTGAGTGGACATAAACATGGACCTAAGTGGACATAAACATGGACCTGTCTGGACATAAACATGGACCTGTCGGGACATAAACATGGATCTGAGTGGACATAAACATGGACCTGAGTGGACATAAACATGGACCAGAGAGGACATAAACATGGACCTGGGTTGACATAAACATGGACCTGAGTGGACATAAACATGGACCTGTCGGGACATAAACATGGACCTGAGTGGACATAAACATGGACCTAAGTGGACATAAACATGGACCTGTCTGGACATAAACATGGACCTGTCGGGACATAAACATGGATCTGAGTGGACATAAACATGGACCTGAGTGGACATAAACATGGACCAGAGAGGACATAAACATGGACCTGGGTTGACATAAACATGGACCTGAGTGGACATAAACATGGACCTGAGTGAACATAAACATGGACCTGAGAGGACATAAACATGGACCTGGGTTGACATAAACATGGACCTGAGTGGACATAAACATGGACATGAGAGGACATAAACATGGACCTGGGTGGACATAAACATGGACCTGTCTGGACATAAACATGGACCTGAGTAGACATAAACATGGACCTGGGTTGACATAAACATGGACCTGAGTGGACATAAACATGGACATGAGAGGACATAAACATGGACCTGGGTGGACATAAACATGGACCTGTCTGGACATAAACATGGACCTGAGTAGACATAAACATGGACCTGAGTGGACATAAACATGGACCTGAGTGGACATAAACATGGACCTGTCTGGACATAAACAGAACATGGACCTAGTAGACATAAACATGGACCTGAGTGGACATAAACAAGGACCTGAGTGGACATAAACATGGACCTGAGTGGACATTAACATGGACCTGGGTGGACATGAACATGGACCTGTCTGGACATAAACATGGATCTGAGTGGACATACACAAGGACCTGAGTGGACATAAACATGGACCTGAGTGGACATAAACATGGACCTGGTAGACATAAACATGGACCTGAGTGGACATAAACATGGACCTGTCGGGACATAAACATGGACCTGAGTGGACATAAACATGGACCTGAGTGGACATAAACATGGACCAGAGAGGACATAAACATGGACCTGGGTTGACATAAACATGGACCTGAGTGGACATAAACATGGACCTGAGTGAACATAAACATGGACCTGAGAGGACATAAACATGGACCTGGGTTGACATAAACATGGACCTGAGTGGACATAAACATGGACATGAGAGGACATAAACATGGACCTGGGTGGACATAAACATGGACCTGTCTGGACATAAACATGGACCTGAGTGGACATAAACATGGACCTGTCTGGTCATAAACAAGGACCTGAGTAGACATAAACATGGACCTGTCGGGACATACACATGGACCTGAGTGGACATAAACATGGACCTGAGTGGACATAAACATGGACCTGTCCGGACATAAACATGGATCTGAGTGGACATAAACATGGACCTGTCGGGACATAAACATGGACCTGAGTGGACATAAACATGGACCTAAGTGGACATAAACATGGACCTGTCTGGACATAAACATGGACCTGTCTGGACATAAACATGGACCTGAGTGGACATAAACATGGACCTGAGTGGACATAAACATGGACCTGAGTGGACATAAACATGGACCAGAGAGGACATAAACATGGACCTGGGTTGACATAAACATGGACCTGTCCGGACATAAACATGGATCTGAGTGGACATAAACATGGACCTGTCGGGACATAAACATGGACCTGAGTGGACATAAACATGGACCTAAGTGGACATAAACATGGACCTGAGTGGACATAAACATGGACCTGAGTGGACATAAACATGGACCTGAGTGGACATAAACATGGACCAGAGTGGACATAAACATGGACCTGGGTTGACATAAACATGGACCTGAGTGGACATAAATATGGACCTGTCCGGACATAAACATGGATCTGAGTGGACATAAACATGGACCTGTCGGGACATAAACATGGACCTGAGTGGACATAAACATGGACCTGTCTGGACATAAACATGGACCTGTCGGGACATAAACATGGATCTGAGTGGACATAAACATGGACCTGAGTGGACATAAACATGGACCTGAGTGGACATAAACATGGACCTGGGTTGACATTAACATGGACCTGAGTGGACATAAACATGGACCTGAGTGAACATTAACATGGACCTGAGAGGACATAAACATGGACCTGGGTTGACATAAACATGGACCTGAGTGGACATAAACATGGACCTGAGAGGACATAAACATGGACCTGGGTGGACATAAACATGGACCTGTCTGGACATAAACATGGACCTGAGTGGACATAAACATGGACCTGTCTGGACATAAACATGGACCTGAATGGACATAACCATGGACCTGGTAGACATAAACATGGACCTGTCTGGACATAAACAGAACATGGACCTAGTAGACATAAACATGGACCTGAGTGGACATAAACAAGGACCTGAGTGGACATAAACATGGACCTGAGTGGACATTAACATGGACCTGGGTGGACATGAACATGGACCTGTCTGGACATAAACATGGATCTGAGTGGACATAAACAAGGACCTGAGTGGACATAAACATGGACCTGAGTGGACATAAACATGGACCTGGTAGACATAAACATGGACCTGAGTGGACATAAACATGGACCTGAGTGGACATAAACATGGACCTGGTAGACATAAACATGGACCTGAGTGGACATAAACAAGGACCTGAGTGGACATAAACATGGACCTGTCTGGACATAAACATGGACCTGAGTGGACATAAACATGGACCTGGGTGGACCTTAACTTGTTTACAGCTAATTTATGGCTTATATGTATCTTGTGATTAAATGTCTGATGCCAGCGATGTAACATTAGATATGGGAATTCCTTTGTTTTATGTTTGAAGCTTCATAAACAGATTATCAATTAATGAAATATAATCATACTTCTATCTAACACAAGAGGAAATACCAGATAGCAACATAATCATGATACAAAGTCAATAAAACTAGCACAAAATCTGAACAAAAGAAAGAATGACAACCAGATCCGTTAGAAAGTACAATGATAACAAGACAAAGTATTCCAGAAGTGTAAGCCTTTTTCTTAACCTAAAGCTCCAAGTTTAATCTAATGTTTTATTCTTGTGCAATATAATGTGTTGGAGAAGTCATGTCAGATGATGATTGATAAACATTAGAGGAATAGAGAATATATTTGTATTGTGTCAGCTATAATGATTAGTGTGATATTGAGAACAACCATGAAATCAATTACGCCTAGATTTAATATACAAAGCGCATACCAACACTGATGATGTACAGTATTCTGTGACCTCTAGTTCATTACATGTTGTCTGGATGTAAAATGTTCCTCAGTAAAGAAGTGACATGAACTGTTGCTAAGCAACCACAAATTTAGTTGTTAATGTACTCTGGTTTGTTTGCAGGGAAAATGTAATGGTAGGGTAGGCTACTTTCCAGCAAAGTATGTGATACCACTACAGTTTGCCCAGCGGGTATATCAGGTCACACAGCCCATGCATTTAACTGAAGGTGGTAACGGCATGAAACTGCATAAAGATCAGGTAAGTAAGAACGATTTGTATAGGAGAATACCAAGGAACTCCCCAGATGTGAGATAACATTCATGTATATCTTAACTTGGTGATTCATATTTGTTGCTTTGTTGTTTTTTTCCATGTAACCTACCATTTAATCTTGTACTGAAATAAATGTAAAATAAATGATATTTATGAAGTTTGTAAAGGGGGATAAAGCAGACACTAGAACAAAGTAACAAGGGAATATTGGAAATTCCGGTGTTGATACTTTTCCCTTTGGTAAGCAGTTCAGCAGTTTAGCTAAAGTGATGCATTTCTCATAGAAGTCAAGGAATTTCTTTTCTTTTATTTTATTTCATTATTTGAAATGTTGATGGTGTCTGTTTTTAGGTCACCCGAGACAAAGTCTCAAGTCACCAATTGCGATCGCCTTTTGTTTGGCATCATCCATCATGCATCATCTGATGTAAACCATTTACGTTTTTGACTTCGTCTCAATAACCATAAGACCTAGAGTCATGACATTGAGCCAGTAGTATGCTGGGATGAAAGGCTGCCAATTATTTTCAAAAGAATCACCTTGACCTACTTTCAAGGTCTCAATGTGTTAAAATCTTTAAATGACTTCTCAATAACCATAAGGCCCAGGGTCATGATATTAGGCCAGTAGCATGCTAGCATGCAGAGCTTGCCCAAATGAATGAACTTCCATGTTTTCAAGGTCACAGGGCACAAATAATGCTAAACTACCACAACAGATAATGTTATCTATTCCATCTAATTGAAAATTCATTCTTCAAATGAAGAAAAAAACTGTGTAAGTATCCGTATATGAATTCTGTTCTGTCTGCCCCAGTGTTGGGACCTGAAGACCTCAGGTGATCGTTCTGTCTGCCCCAGTGTTGGGACCTGAAGACCTCAGGTGATCGTTCTTTCTGCCCCAATGTTGGGACCTGAAGACCTCAGGTGATCGTTCTGTCTGCCCAATGTGAGACCTGAAGACCTCAGGTGATCGTTCTGTCTGCCCCAATGTTGAGACCTGAAGACCTCAGGTGATCGTTCTGTCTGCCCAATGTGGGACCTGAAGACCTCAGGTGATCATTATGGCCCATGTGCCTCTCGTTATAGTTATATAAAGCACCTGTTTGAATACAACAATGTTTACATCAGTTCACTATACTGCTGAACTGTTATACATGTTTATGCTAAGGTAAATGATGTCATGGACTACAAAATTGTCACCTAAACAACACATTAGTTATGTGCACTGTCGTAAGATCAAAAATGAATGGCTATGTCGACAAAGTGTGCAATAATTGTCACTGAATAGGCCACTACAAAACTACCTTTATATTATTAATGAACCCAAACTGCAGGCGTTGACGGACAACTTTGTGATATATTTGTCCCTCTATGACGGATCTCCTAGATAAAAAAAACTTTTATCAAATGATACATTATGTATGTTGCAATGTTGATGCTATTTAATACTTACATTGAAAATGTTCTTTACAAATGTTCACTATTGCCTCATCTGATTTCAGATTGTACTGCAAGTGGGAGATGAGGTTGAGAATGGGATGATCTTGGTGAGGTCAGCCAGTAATAAACAGGCTCTTTGTCCTGTTAAATACCTCAACGAAGTGTAGCGCATGTGTCGTCTGCTTTCTTGTAAATACCTCAACGAAGTGTTACCTACGTGTCGTCGCGTTCCATTGTTTAGTTACATCAGCAAAGTGTAGACCATGTGTCGCCTGTCATCTTGTAAATACCCCCAACGAAGTGTTAACCACGTGTCGTCGCGTTTCATCGTGTAGATACATCAGCAAAGTATAGACCGTGTGCAACGAAGTGTTACCTACGTGTCCTCGTATACATCAGCAAAGTCTAGCGTTTGTGTCATCTTCCATCGTGAAAATACTTCAACGAAGTTTTGCTTAAGTGTCGCCGCATATCCTTGTGAACCATTGTGTCTTCTACCATCTTGTAAATACATCAACGAAGTGCTACCTACGTGTCGTCACCTATTATAGTATACATAGAGATATCAGCAAAGTGTAGAGCTTGTGTCGGCTGCCATCTTGTAAATACTTCAACCAAGTGCTATCTATGTGCTGTCGTCTGGATTTTGAGTACTCCTCAACAAAGTGTAGCCTTTATATCACCCCCTACCCTCGTGTGAATACTTCAACAAAGTGTAGCCTTTATATCACCCTCTACCCTCGTGTGAATACTTCAACAAAGTGTAGCCTTTATATCACCCCCTACCATCGTGTGAATACTTCAACAAAGTGTAGCCTTTATATCACCCTCTACCCTCGTGTGAATACTTCAACAAAGTGTAGCCTTTATATCACCCCCTACCATTGTGTGAATACTTCAACAAAGTGTAGCCTTTATATCACCCCCTACCATCGTGTGAATACTTCAACAAAGTGTAGCCTTTATATCACCCCCTACCATCGTGTGAATACTTCAACAAAGTGTAGCCTTTATATCACCCCCTACCATCGTGTGAATACTTCATTAAAGTGTAGCCTTTATATCACCCCTACCATCGTGTGAATACTTCAACAAAGTGTAGCCTTTATATCACCCCCTACCATTGTGTGAATACTTCAACAAAGTGTAGCCTTTATATCACCCCCTACCATCGTGTGAATACTTCAACAAAGTGTAGCCTTTATATCACCCTCTACCCTCGTGTGAATACTTCAACAAAGTGTAGCCTTTATATCACCCTCTACCCTCGTGTGAATACTTCAACAAAGTGTAGCCTATATGTCACCCTCTACCCTCGTGTGAATACTTCAACAAAGTGTAGCCTTTATATCACCCCCTACCATCGTGTGAATACTTCAACAAAGTGTAGCCTTTATATCACCCCCTACCATTGTGTGAATACTTCAACAAAGTGTAGCCTTTATATCACCCCCTACCATTGTGTGAATACTTCAACAAAGTGTAGCCTATATATCACCCCCTACCCTCGTGTGAATACTTCAACGAATTGTTCCCTGTCGCCACCAGTCATTATGTATATGCCTCAACAAATACAATCATATGTCGTGGTATGCAATTGTCCAGTTAGTTTATACGCGTGTCATCACTTACTGTGATTAAATATTTCCACAAAGTCCCCGAGTTGTTACCAGCCATTGTATATATCATCACGGATGTCGAATACTAATATATATATATATATAAAGGCTTCATTTCTTATATCTGGATATGTACTCTCGTCCGTAATAAGGACAATGTCAAACTTACAAAGTCTCTTCACTAATGAAATTCATTCAACGTTGATACCAAATGGTGAAATCGTTAGTGGATGTTGACATTTCATCTTGAGAGAGTTTTTCGTTTTCATTATTTTTTTTCAACTCTGTATATGATATATTTCTTCATTTTAAAACCATTTTTTTTTTCATGGCGCACGTGAGTACCACATATTTAAAATATGGATCTGACTTACCGGAGCGTCAACTTGTGTACGTCAAGGTGATATACCAGTTTTCACTGAAGAATTATTGATGTATTGAACTTTTCCATGTTTATTGAAACTTCCTTTAACCTCGGTAACTTCGGATTCTTTCGTTGAGACAGTGCATACTCCTAATTATAAAACAATCTTGAATATTTATCAAAGGATGAAGTCAGAGCAAAATAACACTAATATTGTATATATTGTTTATAATGGTCTCCTTTCTGGGTGACGATATGCCGTTGTATTCAGATACAAAGCTTTTGTATGTTATTTGTCGTACTTGAAAGGTCCATGTATAACAACTGTGATTGATTCCCCCTATATCTGTAAGAGCGTGTGCGGTGTCAAATTTCCTTGTGATAACCTTGTTTCGAGCTCTAATATTCACTTTGGTGTATAGATCTGTACAAAGATTGGGTGACGTAATAAATTACCTACATACATGATTCATCACATATATATCAAAGTTAGTAAACCCTATAGAGATATTGTTACTGTATAAACATTCCATGTACCTTTGTGTGAAAAAAGAACTAATGACAAATGCTAGAAGTGATTCAGAAATCACTATTTAACAAAATGAATATATTGAAATATTATTCTCTCCTATCAGATGTTGTCCCACCACGTGCCTCCCTCACTCGTGTTATCACATACAATATGAATCACGTGTCAAACCAATACCAGACATGTTTTACACCTGTGATACTGTTGGATTTATTAGTTATTTATAGAATTATCATCGTTATTATTTGCTGAATTATGCATCAACAAGTTGTGTAGAATATTTAGCCACGCTGAACAGATATGTTATTGTTTTAAGGTGAAAGTAACATGTACTTAGGTGTCTTGTTTGGCATCCGTCTTCCTGATAATCTAAGTTTATTCATGATTTTTTCCTCATTTCCCCCTGTCCAGTTCAGTTTATTGTAGCTTTTCGTCATATTAACAGCCAGGATCATTTAGGGATTTACCAGGTTTGGGTGGTAGAAGAAAGCAGTACCTGGCACCTGCTCCACATACCCTCAAACCCGCCACCTAGAGGTGGTAGGCTAGTGATAAAGACAGTCACACGCCGTCATCAAACTATTGCTTATGTCAACTTTATTTGTATATTTGTCAATTGGCAATCGTTCATTTACAAAGAAAATTGTGAATATTTGCCCACTGTTAATGTATCTAGGGCGACTGTGTGTAAATATTCCAAACCATCCATGAACATCACTGGCTATGTATCTGTATGTGAATTTTCCTCTCACGATCATTGTTTTTTGGAATGTTTTTGCAAATTTTACCAGATAATTCAGTGTCTAGTGAACTTCTTCATACTAGAATGTATTTATATTCTGACTTTCAGGTCTATTCTTACCTTTTCCTGGCCACCACGTTTCCGACATACTTCTGTATACCTTGTACATGTTACACATTCCCTATCGTTTCTGTTGTATATAATCTCTTTGTTGAGTTTTCGTATTTTTGTTAATAATTTAGTTGAACATGAATTGTATATCTTGTTACATAATTAAGGTTGTTGGTATGTGGACATGCCTGTGTAATGATATAAAATATGTTATTAAATACTGACCGTGTCTATTTGTGTTCGGTAGAAAGCACGCAAGACAGCGAATATGTATAAAGTTATGTGAATGTCAGAACCAGTGTATAAAGTTGAATGCAAGTTCATGTTAGTAAATTTGTACATAAGTTTCTTTTTCTTTGCCAAATTGATTTTTTGTTTAAATTACACAAAAACAAACAAAAAAGTGTTGAATCTAGACTTCCGAGTCTACCAGGCGCTGGGTCGCTGTGCCAGTAACTATGCGTCTAGGTCTGGAAACTACCGGTGAATGTTTTCATCTTGGGGACTGTACTAGGGGCTAGTAGGGTCATAGTCACAGAATCAGCGGTTGTATCTCTGTACTTGGTCACTGTACCAGTGGGAGTGTCTATATCTAGGTCTGTCATTGTACCAGGGGCTTGGTCACTGTACCAGTGAGACTGTCTATATCTAGGTCTGTCCTTGTACCAGGGGCTTGGTCACTGTACCAGTGAGACTGTCTATATCTAGGTCTGTCATTGTACCAGGGGCATGGTCACTGTACCAATGACGGTTCTGTACCAAGACGAAGTGCATTGTGCAAACGGTCACTGATCCAGGAATTGTTTCCAAAACATCGACCTAATGCCTAAAGTAACCTGAGACCCGATGTGTGTGGTTCGATTTCTTTCCGGGATGGTGTTCTCATGAAGCTGTTAACATGGCATACCGTCATGTATTGCCGTGAGACACATCTCTCCAGTTCCCTTGGATAACATGTGGTTGGCTTTATGTATAGCGATCTAGACCTTACAGTCTCTAAATCAACCTGCCTATTAGCAGGGCTATTAATCTAGCACACTCTCTACAGGGGTTTTAAGTGGTGTAAATGTTCAAACTCATATTGTAAAAATTATATGCCGTGACTTAGTTATCCCCGACAGCCTGAACAAATAGCAAGCAAATAATTTCCCTGACCGATACTAATTGGATTTGAAATGACATTATATTACCCCGATTTGTTGTTGCAAAGCTACCATCACGATGATGACAGTTGTGACTACATTTTCATCTGTCTCCAAAGTATACTGCACCACTGATGACCTCGTATTTTGTCTATAAATTTCCCCAGTGATCAACAGCTATCCATTTATCTCTCCTAAATGAAAGATACATGTTTGTACATGCATATTTCCAATTACGCATGCGCCTTTGTATAGTCGGTGCGGTCGGTGAAGGCTTCGGACATACGTTACATTGAAATGCAAAGAGTAATATTGCTAATCGAAAATCAAATTATTCACATTCAAATATCGACGAAGTTCATTAATGCAAAAAATAGGGTATGCAATTTAAAATTTTCGTATGCATTTTTTTTGTACTAGAAATTCGATTTTTGGAAGGCCATATATATGTAATTTATACAAAAATGTATCGTCCGGTTGTACATGGAGAGATCAGGTGGGCTATATAGAGTTTTGCTTGTTTGGTTTGATATCTGCCTCGTGAAAGTTGTTCGGTAACCATGACGATCAATATGGTGGTGGTGGTTTACTACCTTGTTTTCCTACCAGACTTTAATAGCCCCCACGTGCCAAGACAATGAAATAAATCTACAACAAACATCTCTTTGTCTCTTGTCATTTCTACACCACAAGATGTCACCTTTACGTATCCGCCTTTTAATTGGGGCACTGTAGCGCTACCCACGACTCCCGAACCAATGTTATATCTTGAGAACCTCTCATCCCATTGGGTACCCACGACTCCCGAACCGATGTTATATCTTGAGAACCTCTCATCCCATTGGGTACCCATGACTGCCAAGCCAATGTTATATCTTGAGAACCTCTCATCCCATTGGGTACCCATGGCTGCCAAGCCAATGTTATATCTTGAGAACCTCTCATCACATTTGCTTCGTATTTACCCTATAATAGCATGACATCAACTTCTGTACCTTATCAGAGTTAAATTGTAAAAGTTATAAGGTCAACGATCACATTTCTGCTAATTTATCAATCATTGATACTCATAGGCATGGAGCGAGGACACCCGTGTCTTATCTCAATTCGTTTGGAAAGCTTAAATGAGTGGTGATGTTTCTTTTATTAAATTCTCGAGATAAAATTATTGATAAAAAGTTGTTGGAGCTAGAGGAATCGTAAATGGACTGATTTACAAATGATCAGTGCTATATCTTAATAGGCACACACACCAAATTCGAATGTTCCAAACAAAACCAGACAACTGATGTATTCTCTACTAAGATCAATTATGATGATTTCAATAATATTTTCCATTGTCACATTCCATGTTATGTACATATATACATGTACAGCATACTAACAAACCATCGAAAGGAAAGCTCATTTTTTACCATTGCTAGACCGAAAAGAATGATCCCAGATTGTTGATCCCTTCGAAAAGAAATTTCCGTGATTTGCCGGTGAAAATTAATTCACCGCCATTATCATTAAAGTTCATCATATTAGGGATTGATTAATAATACATATACTTAAATTTTCCTTGTTCTGCAATGAAGAGACTTTCATATAGGGGTAATATAACACGTTAGTCACGTCCAGTGTTGAATGCAAATAAGTGATATCAGACATGGACTGTCAAGCCTAATATTTCTCGTAAGGAACATTTTTTTTTATCATTTTATGCTACATTTAACAATTACAGACGATATGAGTAGAACTAGGCAGTGGGATTTATTTCTACATGTACAATAGAATAAGGTCCTTACGATGTAGACCCAAACAACAAGAAAATACCAAGAATTCAACTTCGTCATAATCCAAATTTGATAAAACTAGGGTAAAATATCTAAAAAAAAAAAAAAAAAAACAAAAGATTTATATGGAGACACCCATCGTGTAAACGTTGGTCAATCCAAGTTAGTAATGTCACGTTCTCAAAAGAGAACAAGGTATACAACAACGGAACCAACAGGCAAACTAACGAGCATCAAATATGTTCAGCTTCACATCCAAATAGATCCCAAGTATTCTCTAACATGAGGACATCTAAAGAGGGCAGCTCCCCAAGTGTAAACTGCAAGATAGTAGTTTTTGAAAACAAGTAATGTGTGCACATAACTTTTATTTAGATTTCCTTCATCTAATGATGGGTAATTTAAATATCCCTTTGATAAGACCGTCTGTAATTTAAACAGTTCTTTCACAAGACTTTCCGAATGGAGAATGTTTCAATTTCATGTTTAGGTTATCCATGGTCCTTTGGTTGAAAAACGAAAAAGGCCCAACGGGTAGCCATATTGGGAATGAAGGTGTTTAAGATTTTAAAAGAAACATATTCTTGTTCACTGGATGGATAGTTTGCTAATTTCGTAGGAGCGTTTCGGTTTCTCGTGTTCATTGATATGAATAATACACCTGTCACAATCACAACATATATATATAAGAAGGGGAAACGGTCCAACATTGAAAGGATCCATGAACACATACCTTGGATGTCTCCAACGTCCCATTGGGATACCTTAGTGTGAAAATATAAAAGTTGCAGTAACGTTCAGGTTATGTTTAAACAAAATGAGATTGATTTGATACACAGTCTATGTTTAACACAAGTGTCAACCTCACATAATTACAAAACCTTAAATTTCAACCTTAAACATATGCTTGACACTTGTTCACAGTCCATCCTTACTGGTTACGATATACCCTGGTTACTCGGGTATTTATCTCGATTGATCAGGATGTTTTATTTTATGACACCTAGCGAAAAAAATAAAGATTATCGATTTTTGATTAATTAATTAATTTATTTGATTTTTAATGAAATGTCCCCAAAATGGAAACTTTATTTAGAAAACAATACCTGAACAAAAGTGAATCACAAATCAGAAATATGATGTTTATACCTAATGAATTTGGCGCTGTATTTCTGTTCTTTACATATGAAATGTTTAAACTCACGTGCACGAGAGTTACCTACCTTATGATGGTTATTGTCAAATGAAGCTACCGGTCATTGGATTATAGTTGCTGTGTTTTATCGTTAAAGGCTTTTACAAAGACACACACAATGAATGGCCCAAAAAAATGAAGCGATAGACCCCGTTTATTTCTTATGACAAATACAGCTGCCCTATATTATTAGTTATGTAGTTTGCTAGTGACCCCCTACAGGAATATAGGGGTTCAGTCAGATTGGTAGGGGGTGAGGGCGAAGAATGTGAATATCGCCAATCTGTGATTTGAAATTACGAAGTGACGCCTTTCAGGATAATGGATGGCGGCCATTGCCCCCTATATATTCAGCTGCCCCCTATAGATTTATAGGGGGCAAGCAACGTCCAATCAGATCAATGCATTCTAGTCCGAGGTGCAATAAAGCTATTTAAAGTTATACAGGGCAGTTACTTGTAGGATCTCAGCGTCATTGAAGATTCCTTGACACAACTTTATGGTTTGATTCATTAGTTGACAACTGTATCTGTTTTAAATGTGATATTCACTGGTGCGTCTTTTGTAAGTATTTTCATGACTGTTCGGTGATGTTAAGTATAACAAAAAGATGTTCAAGTAGACACAAGCACAAGCATGTCTGGTTTGGATCCTGGATTAGGCGACAGGGACTTGGCACGAATCCCTAACCCACGGTTCATATATATATTATAGTGACACAGGGACTTGGCACGAATCCCTAACCCACGGTTCATATATATATCATAGTGACACAGGGACTTGGCACGAACTCCTTACCCACGGTTCATATATATATTATAATGACACAGGGACTTGGCACGAATCCCTAACCCACGGTTCATATATATATTATAGTGACACAGGGACTTGGCACGAATCCCTAACCCACGGTTCATATATATATTATAGTGACACAGGGACTTGGCACGAACTCCTTACCCACGGTTCATATATATATTATAGTGACACAGGGACTTGGCACGAACTCCTTACCCACGGTTCATATATATATTATAGTGACACAGGGACTTGGCACGAACTCCTTACCCACGGTTCATATATATATTATAGTGACACAGGGACTTGGCACGAACTCCTTACCCACGGTTCATATATTTATTATAGTGACACATGGACTTGGCACGAATCCCTAACCCACGGTTCATATATATATTATAGTGACACAGGGACTTGGCACGAACTCCTTACCCACGGTTCATATATATATTATAGTGACACAGGGACTTGGCACGAACTCCTTACCCACGGTTCATATATATATTATAGTGACACAGGGAGTTGGCACGAACTCCTTACCCACGGTTCATATATATATATATTATAGTGACACAGGGACTTGGCACGAACTCCTAACCCACGGTTCATATATATATTATAGTGACACAGGGACTTGGCACGAACTCCTTACCCACGGTTCATATATATATTATAGTGACACAGGGACTTGGCACGAACTCCTTACCCACGGTTCATATATATATTATTATAGTGACACAGGGACTTGGCACGAAATCCTTACCCACGGTTCATATATTTATTATAGTGACACATGGACTTGGCACGAATCCCTAACCCACGGTTCATATATATATTATAGTGACACAGGGACTTGGCACGAACTCCTTACCCACGGTTCATATATATATTATAGTGACACAGGGACTTGGCACGAACTCCTTACCCACGGTTCATATATTTATTAGAGTGACACATGGACTTGGCACGAATCCCTAACCCACGGTTCATATATATATTATAGTGACACAGGGACTTGGCACGAACTCCTTACCCACGGTTCATATATATATTATAGTGACACAGGGACTTGGCACGAACTCCTTACCCACGGTTCATATATATATTATAGTGACACAGGGAGTTGGCACGAACTCCTTACCCACGGTTCATATATATATATTATAGTGACACAGGGACTTGGCACGAACTCCTAACCCACGGTTCATATATATATTATAGTGACACAGGGACTTGGCACGAACTCCTTACCCACGGTTCATATATATATTATAGTGACACAGGGACTTGGCACGAACTCCTTACCCACGGTTCATATATATATTATAGTGACACAGGGACTTGGCACGAACTCCTTACCCACGGTTCATATATTTATTATAGTGACACATGGACTTGGCACGAATCCCTAACCCACGGTTCATATATATATTATAGTGACACAGGGACTTGGCACGAACTCCTTACCCACGGTTCATATATATATTATAGTGACACAGGGACTTGGCACGAACTCCTTACCCACGGTTCATATATATATTATAGTGACACAGGGACTTGGCACGAACTCCTTACCCACGGTTCATATATATATATTATAGTGACACAGGGACTTGGCACGAACTCCTAACCCACGGTTCATATATATATTATAGTGACACAGGGACTTGGCACGAACTCCTTACCCACGGTTCATATATATATATTATAGTGACACAGGGACTTGGCACGAACTCCTTACCCACGGTTCATATATATATTATAGTGACACAGGGAGTTGGCACGAACTCCTTACCCACGGTTCATATATATATATTATAGTGACACAGGGACTTGGCACGAACTCCTAACCCACGGTTCATATATATATTATAGTGACACAGGGACTTGGCACGAACTCCTTACCCACGGTTCATATATATATTATAGTGACACAGGGACTTGGCACGAACTCCTAACCCACGGTTCATATATATATTATAGTGACACAGGGACTTGGCACGAACTCCTTACCCACGGTTCATATATATATTATAGTGACACAGGGACTTGGCACGAACTCCTTACCCACGGTTCATATATATATTATAGTGACACAGGGACTTGGCACGAACTCCTTACCCACGGTTCATATATTTATTATAGTGACACATGGACTTGGCACGAATCCCTAACCCACGGTTCATATATATATTATAGTGACACAGGGACTTGGCACGAACTCCTTACCCACGGTTCATATATATATTATAGTGACACAGGGACTTGGCACGAACTCCTTACCCACGGTTCATATATATATTATAGTGACACAGGGAGTTGGCACGAATCCCTAACCCACGGTTCATATACATATATATATATTTTAGTGACCAGGGTCGTAACTTCGAAGAAGGGAAAAACTTATTTCAATATCTTGAAATTTGGAATTATTTCATTACATTTTCTTCAATTATTTACATTTTTCAGGGGGTGAAAACTTGAATGCATCGCTCAACAACTAGATCAGAATGAATTTGTTCAAAATATCCTATTATCATTTTTTTTACTTATCTTTTAATCAATTTATGAATAGATGTTTAAAGAAAATTTGAAATATATATGATTTTTCGTTCAATTGATCGAGTTAATACTTGATGTGTACCATCATTACTGAAATTCCTATATACAGTGCAAAGAGTAAAATAAATAGGGAGGACAGCAACCACATCGGACTGTCTATAGAAAGGTAAAGGTTAGTGTATAATTACAGGTATAACTCCTATATTACTACAGAAAATGGATATGACAGGATCCAGTGCACTTGTAGCGTGCAGCTCATCAATACAGGACATATGGTATAGTACAATTATAGCTAGGTGTAACATGTAGAAACATACTCATTTACCAGGTGTGTGACCCTCGTTATAACCATCAAGTATCTCACAAGGAAATTGGTCGTGATATTTGTACAAACAAATATTAAATGAATGGTGTTTTCCTAGATAATGTTACACACCTTCATCCATCCCAGTAGATAGACACAGTGTATAGTAACTGTCGATAGCAAAAGAAAAACAACTTGATGTACAAAACAAATCAATATTATAAAAACATATTAATTGCACTTACAACGCAGCGGTCATTGTACTTCCTGTTGGAGGTGTGGTTCCAACTAATCAGAAAGGAAGGTGCATGTGTCACCGATTAGATTAATATCGAGATTAAACAACACTAACACCTGTGGATTATCTTAAACAGCAAAATCGATCATGTAGACATTACATTATAAGGCCAGACGAAACATGTTATTTGTTTCCTGTTACACGTAGGAAAACTTTAAGGTTGGTAGTCACTACGCTGTATTTTAAGCATGGCGATTTCAATGCCCAATTTGTGATTTTATCACTTCTAGAAATAAACATGTCAATTTGAAGTGTTTTAATGATTGAAGCACGATCTACAGATTCGATGTTCTAATACCTATTCCCAATTTCACAAATGGCTAAACAACTGACAACATAGGGTTTGGAAATAAGTAGGTTCATAAGACTAAGAAGTAGTTTAATAGCCCCGTAATTATCTCACATTTACATATTCTGTTTCCCTGTAAAATATATATCATACACATCACGTGATTTCGTTATTATAAAATCTTATTATGCTTTTGGGTACATGACTTGACTGAATCAACATAGCCACGTCGATAAAGATACTTTGCACCAGATATATAAACATTATGTGCCAACAGACTGGAAGTAATAGACAAAGCCATCCCTCAATGCTGCCAATATGATTACGAGAAACAAAGGACGGTGAATGATCATTATCATTTGTTTGGTTCATTTGTGTCGTTCTAATCCAGCCCCCATAAAACTGCTGAACCGTTGTATTACTTAACAGATATAAGCGTCAGACATCATGAAAGTAGATATTTCTTTCATATCCCGTCATGTTGTATAGGGTTTGTTCATGTCAGATAGCAATAGACTTTTTTACACAGCGTTTCACGTGCACGGCCTAATCTGCATTCAGGGGGAAACAACTCTTACGGCATCTTATGCTTGTTTACATTGATCTGACATCCGTCTACGTCATGCCATATAATACACACGCAAATAAAGAGCTTTATAATCTGGTAGGTTTTAAATACAGAATTGGTAACATTACACATACGAGTAGAAACTCAAGAAAACTCTTGTATTTTATATGTAGGTCTCTTTCGTCAGATGATTGGGAAGGCCCATACGCCATGTAATGGAGGACATTGGGGATACGGTTGTACATATACAGTACAGTCATTACTTATAAAACTACCTGTTTCACCTTTGGTCTACCCGAAAGTTGTCTTACTAGTGATGTAGTCGTGACATCTTTGATTGATGGCTGCGGTTTAGTGTACGGGAGCTGGTATTAGCCATTTGTGTTTGTCAGTGTAAGACATTACGAATGGATCTCACGTTTTGTAGCAGTTTCTCTTCTCAGTGTTGTTAAAGATTATATCCTTTCTTAAGAACGAAATCCGTTTGAATACGCGTATCAATGTTTTCATTTTACATGGTACGTAAGCCGAAATGTGAAATTTGATGATCTTCAAATTATTCTTGCCGATCTCCCATAGAACTCAACATTTCTCAGTTGAATCACTGCCTTCTTACGGTAAACAGCAATGTTGACAGTTTCTGCGAGATCATTTTCGAGGAAATGGCGACTACTCGGCGTGGTGTTAGTGATTTTCTGCAGTTTGTTATTATTTTGGATCATTAATACTTCTAAACCTTATCAACTTGTTGGTGAACAGACTGTCCAAAGATTTTCTCAGAATGAAAGTTCACGGAAAAGTTATTCAGAAATAATTAGAGAATTTAATATCTCCTTATATAAAGACACAGATCCGAACCGTTTCCATCTTAATGTGAACAAGACACATATGACGCCTGTGAATCGTGAGGTTCCAGACCCACGGCCTCCTCAGTGTGCATTAATTGAGTATGACATTAAGTCACTTCCGCTAGCATCCATCGTAATACCGCTTCATAACGAACCGTGGTCAACGTTCGAACGAATGATCAACAGTATCCTGAACCGTTCTCCGTTGACGCTCCTAAAAGAAATCATAGTCATCGACGACATGAGTACGCTTGACTATTTAGGGGAACCATTGGAAAAGTATGCTGAACAAATTAGCGTCCTGACAATACACAGATCGTTTGAAAGACTTGGCACGATGAAGTCAAGAGTTCTTGGGACGCAGCTTGCAAAAGGCGATGTTGTGGTGTTTTTAGATTCCCATGTCGAGGTAAATACTGGATGGCTAGAACCAATATTGTACGAAATAAACCAAAATTATACGACAATAGTCCAACCTTCTATTGACGTAATAGATCCCGAAACGTTCGAATACAAACCATTCTTCAGAAATGATAAAAGAGGACATTTTCGATGGAGTATGGCGTTTGAATTTGTTCCGTTAACCCCACAACAACAAACACAGGTGGCAGCTGAACCAACCAAAACATTCAACACTCCTGCTATTGTTGGTTGTGCATTTGCAGCTAACCGGAAATATTTTCTAGATATCGGTGGACTTGACACAGGCATGCGGATATGGGGTGGAGAAGATGTTGAGCTATCCGTGAGAGTATGGCTTTGTGGTGGCAGAATGAAAATATCACCATGTTCACATGTTGCTCACATTTTTAAAACTGATCATCCCTTCAAAATGAAATATCCCGACCTTGTATACAATAACAAAAGAACTGCGGAAATGTGGCTTGGGAATTACAGAAAGTATTTTTACTACTTCAATGCTGGGTACGCAAAACCACCATCAATATTCGAAAAGTTCAAAGACATGAATGATATAAAAAGGAGGTTTAAATGCAAAGACTTTGGTTGGTTGTTGAAGCATGTTTACCCTGAACTGGAGATTCCACCGGAAGGAAGTGACTATTTCGGGAATTTGCGTAACTTAGGTTCCGGTTACTGTTTCGGTCCTGCAGATTCTCTCACCGTAGGCTCGTATCCTATCATTGCAATTGGGGACTGTTTCTTCTACCATAAAGTCCGGAACTTTGCTTTGCTTGGAAATGGCAGCATGATGGTGGACGGGAAGTGTGTTAATATCAAACAGAACTTCCTTATTGTGTCTCCTTGCTCATCAACCGGAAGTGGTAAGTGGGGCTTTAAAAGGAAACAACTAGTTTATACAAAATTCTATCATTCAAAATGTGTCGTGCAGGTGGCCAAGAAGATGGGATCGATAGAGCAAGAAGTCGCAATGCCCATGCCATGTAACAGTTCCAACCGAGCAATGGAATGGAAGATTACTACAAAACTCTACAAGGTTAAGGTGTCTGGTAGATTATTTACGTAATTTTCGCTAACACACAAAGATGTTTATGTGTTTATCCCCACCTATATATGTTAATAAGAATCAAAAGACACCATCACGCACACTACCGAAAGCATACTTACAACTTGTGTCAGTCTTGTATCAAAAACAAAATTGTATATTACATAAATTACATAACCTCTTAATGAGGAAGTTTTGACAGCCGGTAAGGGGGATGAACAATCGACTTTCAGATAACCAATTACCTACTGTAAATCAAATTATACTTGTAGTTCGTGGTCACTTTCAACTTATTTTTCAGACTGGCAGATCAAGCATAGCTCCATGTTTTTTACCGGTAGTTAGCAGTATATTATCGTTTTTCAAAACAAAGCCTGCGGTCAATGTCACATTTATTGAATTTTATACCCAAGGATCGAACGACGGGGGCATATTGTTTTTGTGCTATCTGTTGGTTTGTTTATTTGTCAGCTTTATCCTTGCACATAATTAATGCACCGTAAGAGGTAGTGCTTTCATATTTGGCCTGTGTGTTCCTTGCGACAAGACTACATACTTTTGACCATGTGATTTTGACATTGACATTTGATCTAATTTGATAAAAAAAATAACATTGGCCATAACTAATTAACTAAATCTGCCAAATCAATACCACAATACACTTTCAATGTCCAACTTCAGAATGTTGCAATCAGGGGCATAGTGTTTCATAAACACATACTGTTTAAGCGAGAGGTAGCACTAATTTTAGTATATTTCGATTTCTACCCCAGCGGCTTCCAATGAAATTTCTCTGTACCAAATTTAGCCCGTTTCATTTATCCATGAATTTGAAAAGTTTAACAGCGACACTGGCATATGAAGAATCGTAAGAACACACTTCGTGACGCTTTACAAATAGCTGACGCCCAGTTTGAAGCGAGGTGTGAGGCGACCGTATAACTCATTTGATATGTTGTTCTTCCGCGTAGCTGCCGGAGATGTTTATTTCTATATTTACATTTTGCTCTGTAGTCACCCATTATGTCTATATTAATCTGGACTGCATTCACAGTATTGTAGATGCAGTTCAAAGAGTGCGCATTAATATTTTTTTCTGTGGTAGGCTAAATACAAATAGTATCGAATACCTGAATGATCAAGGATTTCAGGCTAGACACATCATGTTCATGAGCTCCCATAAATCTGAAAGTTCGCTTCGGTCCTATAACCGCACAGTTTCGATAACACAGAAAAAATCACTCAGTGCATCGTTGTCTACCCTGACACTTCCAGTTACCGATCACACAGCGAGAGTTTCGCGATCCCCAGTTACCGATCACGCAGCGACAGTTTCGAGATCCCCACAAGCAGTTTCCTCACAAACCGTAGCATGTGTTTCATCGGAGTCCCTTTCTGCAAGCATTAATCCTCTTCCTTTAAACTCACTCAGACAAAACATGAATGTAAATGTCCAAACCAGTACGGCTACACCAAGTTTCTTTGCCGGCTCATCATTTTCAGGCTGTTCGTTTACTTTTAACTCGAAGTGACGACGCCGCCATTTTTTCTGAATGAATGGACCGGCACGGTAGGCCTACGGTTAACACCTGCGTAGTGAAATTTTAATTCTCTGAATTTAAGTACTGATATTAAATAGTAATTGTTGAAAGTGTTAAACATATTCATTTCGTCAGCTAATAAAGTTTCAAACTTTATTGTTTTATCAATCTGTCATTATTTTACTGTTGTTTTTCCACGCACTATTTTTGTCGTCGTCAAAATGGCTGTTCCATCAACATCGCAACACTAACGATTGAGCGGGAAATTTGAATTTCAATTATTTCTAAAAATAAAAAAAAAAATGGCAAAAGTGTAAATATAACGGACGTCATGATTATTTATCTGGCACCCAGATTGACAATAAATGCAATCTGACAGACGTTCAATGGTTAAATAATTTCTAAAACGTATTGGCAAAATCATTTTGTTGTCTTGTATTTTTTTAAGATGTGTCATATAATCGTATTTTATCGAGTAATACTGTTTTATCATTCTCTAATTTTAAATGTCTATATATTTTAACTTAATCCGTTAGACATATACAATTTCCTGTTACTTTAGACTTAAATTTGTTCACAATATTGAAATCAAAGCATTGAATCTTGATTTGGTCGGTTTCATGGTTTGATAAATTGAGTAGCTCTGAGATAAATTCAACGTGAAAAGCTCGAAGGTCATTAAATGTCTCTCAGGAACAACTCAATGCATCATCCCCTGAAATCGACCAAAGCAACATTCAATGCTTAAGTTAACGAAATTTCTGTGTTTATCTGACTGTCCTGCCTCTTTGTGAGGCCTATTCTGCTCCATGAGTGTCTTCAGTTTTAGCTTCGATTGTTGTATTCTGGAGCTGCCATTGGCTCAAGTGGAAAAATCACAACATAACCTCAAAAAATAGCTTACTGTTTTCAGCCTAATTTTGTCTTGGATCAAGGATACCATAACACCATTCGAGATATAGGGTGTGATATATCTTCAGTCTGATATGAAGGGTTATCCAGTTTAATCAGGTCAGAACATCATTCGAGATATAGGGTGTAATATGTATTCAGTCTGATATGAAGGGTTATCCAGTGCAATCAGGTCAGAACATCATTCGAGATATAGGGTGTGATATATATATATTCAATATTTTCCATGCCGAGTGTTCATTTCCAGAATCTTATATAACGGCAGGTTTTGTAATATCTGTTGTTTGTCGATAAAGTACACAATTATTGACATACTATATGCTAGTGGTCAAGTAACATTGTCTAATTCACACCAGTTTATCCAGATATATATAACTATCATCACTTGACCAGGTCATGTGTACCCTATCTCTGATCTCAGTTGTATTATCGATACTGTTGACGATTGCTTTCCTTTGTTGTGTGACGGCGGTCACTTGTCACTTCATTATTGTCATCATCATCAACCTCATCATCACACGTGTCCATCTATAGAGTAAGTGAGGACGGAATAAAAATGATATATTATCTATTCAATTCTACGGTAAAAATAAAAAGGGTCTTGGAGCTTTTGCTAATCTTTTGTATTAAGCGCAGGTTAAGCCCATTGCTTTGAGAAAAAAAATGAAAATTTAACGTCAATATCAATTTTAATATTACTGAATGAAACAAATAAAATAAAGTCTATTCTACACCATGAAAAAGGTTCCGTTATCGTTGGATGACTGCTATAAGGCAGTGCTTGACGTATCCCATTGGAGCCCGCTATATTTGTAATGTAAAGTCATTGTCATCCCAGAACAACACTCCTCTGCAATTTGTAAGGTTAAATGGTTAAAAGCAATAGGCGGTGACAATTTCAATCCATTATGTTGCACCTGGATGTATTTATTTCAAAACAGAAGTATTATTGGAAGCTCTGAGGCGAATTATGCATCCTTTATCTGATTTCACAATTCATGTATATATCTGCCTATAATCATTACACATTACCGACATTTATGTTATTCTTAACAATGGTGATCTCCCCAGAGAAAAACAGAGTCGTGTTCGGTTGCTATATCTGGAATGATCACGCGAGTAATTTAATTGTCTTTGGATCCTACATGATAACTATTTACGCGTCAAAGTTTCTTTCATCCCGGTGTATTAGTGTATTGGCAATAGCTGTCCTGTCACGTTTACTCCGGATATAGTCTCGTGCTGGTTTCAAGACGGATTGATGCTTGCACCATTCATATTCCGAGGATTCTTGGAAATGAAAGGCAGAAAAATGTCTATTATAGAGTAAGTGAATAAAAATGTAACATTACCTGACCAAGATTTACACGATGTGTGTCGTGACTGAAGCAGAAGACGCTTACTCTTTCGGACCACCTGGACTTATTCTCTTCGTGCTTTTTCAGGAGTCTTTGTGTAAATATTTAATTGTTCATATTTTACCCTAGTTTTATTGAATTTGAGTTAGAATTATGATTATATTGACATGTTGGTTTTTCATTTCTATTTTACTGTATGACGCCATGCAGAAATTTTATTTTCGTCATCCCATGTCTTTAAATAGATTGATGTCATAAGCAAAAGCATAAATAAAGACAGAGAAATCTGTATTTTTTGTTTGTAGTATATCATTAATTTCCCAGAAGAGGTTAAGAAAGAGATTGGTAAATTGTATGCAACAGAATAGACAAAACTTTCAGAGGTCTATACGGCCACTTCTGCTGCGAAATCGGAAATATCAGTAGTGAATTGATTGATAAGAAATATTCAAAACTTAAGAAGATTGTACACTGAGCCACAAGAAAAAAGTAAAATATCCAAATCTATTTGGAATTATATCAATACTTTTCATCTTTATGCGATCAGTTACAAGTTCTACATCAAAAGTCTATTCGGCAAACCTCGGCTGATTCTCGTACCTCTTTATAGACGTAGTTAGGAAATCAGCCGAGATGTGCCGAGTGATCAAATACATACGTACATTTGTACCTCGTTCTGTCAGAAGACGTTTGTGCTATAGCAGTTTCAAATAAAGAACAGTCATATTGGCTATTTCTGGTATGGAGAATTCAATCTTGCTAATCAGTTATTGTATCTCCCCTATAGTGATCCCACAAGCCGAAATAAAGACCGTCTCCCTTTTCTGGTTTGGAAACATTTCTTTGCAAAGACCAGTGAATTACAATAGTACGTATTTATACAGCCTAGATAAAAAAAATCCCGATTTTCACTAACAATCTCTACCAGAGTTGTCGTTCGTCAACTGTCACAATACACCACAGTAAATATCTCACGGACTGACGATAGATAGCATTGTGGTCAGGGTCAAAGTTAGACGTCAGGCAAAAATATGGCGGCATCCCTTACATCACCAACGAAGGAAAACCTTATAGACTGTTTTGTACGTGATCGATCAGTGTAAATAATTACATGCTTTTGGGGAGGAAGTGTATCAATATTGTAACCAAATTACCATCAATTATCATCATTATCTTCACAATATTTGACAACGTATCTCTACAACACATC